AATGATCTCCACGTCCAAGAAATCTTAGTCTCCATTCTTTTCTACATCCACTGCAAATTTGACTTTGCCATCCATGCCATTTCTGAGACAAGAGTGCGAAGTAGTCATCCAAATTTAGCATAATTACTGTCGGCTACTGAGGTGATGTCATCGAACGTGAAATAGGTAGTTCTTATTGTTAGGTTGATCAATCGAGTTAGAGAAATTTTTCTGATTAAAACTCCGTTTTTAAGATGCCATTTTCTCTTTCCAAGATCTCCAGTAGTACCGTGAGCGTTTTTACTTTTGAGGTTCTAATGCAAATTGAATATACATCCAAGCTCACCAGTAGTTCACTTCCGTTCAAACAGGAGCCTTTAATTCTCTAGCAAAATTCGTATGAATTCTAAATCTTGTATGATAATCAGGTATTCATCTTTTTTACTTTAAGGCGGATAAATTTCGCCAGTCTATATGTTGCTCCGTGTTTATTGTTGGCAATCAATGGTTATCCTTTGTGTACTTTCGGCAAACCGTATGCTACTGTGGCTCTTGCATCCTTTCGTGGGAGTTAATTCGTACATTTGTCGATTTCCTCATCCATTTCTTTCTGCCTTTCTCGCAGTCATTTGCTTTTAACTGTTGGGTCTTTTGTTAGCGGCTAATAAGTTGTTATCTACCCGAGAATATTTTCCATTTTCTGTCTATTCCTTCCTGTCCATCACTACTGTGACACCTTTGTCGGCTTCTAGAACTATTTGATCATTTCTTTTCAATCTTTTATATATCTTGCTTTTATTGTTTTTATTCGTGGGTTCGTGATGTGCTAACATAGTTTGGACGATTTCCATTTTCAGCTCTTATTCTTCCGGTAGCTTCTCGAAGGTATTTATCACCTCTACTAAAATGTCCATGATTGCCTTCCATTCATTCTGAAATTCAAAATTTTCGCTCTTGAGAATCACCGTGGTTTTGAAGTAAATAGTGACGGAAGACTGATTCACTACTTTACCTTGATCTCTTATCTGGACTTTAAGTTTCGTTATTCTAGAAGCATATTCGTTTTTCCAGGGTATTTGACCTTGGACTGCCTATATATCTCATACTTATTCAGCTTCTTGTGTCTTTTTTAATCAAGTCCGAGATCCTTTTTAGCATTTTATCTGTCATCTGTACTTTCAGGAAATTCTCCGTTGTGATAATTCGATTCAAATCATGCCTGACTTAATATTTATAAACTTAAATAATTTCCCTCATTATCATATTTCTCTAGTTTTCGCAGAAATATTTGGCATAACATATCATTTTTATTGTCAGAATGCTATGTTGTCATTAGATTACAAAAAACTAGTAGGTATATCATAGTGTTCACAACAGTTAATAGAAGTTATTTAACAATATTGTTTTACGATTGTCTTATTCGATCCTATGTAAATATGAAAATCAAGATGACGTGGCCTTTTCTTTGGTTGCAGTCTCCTTTAACCGAATAGTGTTTGTTTTGAGTGATGCCACAGCAGGTAATCGCCTTTACTTATAACTTTGATAAGTTGTTCCTCTACTAACGATAGAGCCTCTCACTAACGATTTCAACTTAACGTCTGGGAATGTACCACGTCAACGTTCCTATTCTGGAAATCATCCTGAATACCGTAGGACCGAAGACATTGTACTAGGTACATTCCACATTGCTACCCCGTCCCTCCGGCCAAGTAGCAAAAACTAGGTCAAACCAAACATTATGCAGCTAAAGGAGACTGTGACCAAACTAATGGCCTTGCCATCTTGACTTTCATATCCACGTTCTACATTACAGGCCTTATATTAGCACGCTTCTTATCAATTAGCCTTGGATTACATGTATATTTCTTTGTTTTCTTCCGATTATAATATGCCATTGAAAGTGTATTAACAGGCAATACATAAGAAGACTTATATCTGCCCCTTAATTTTTGCACCCTTTGACTTATTGTTTTAGTCCTTCTGACTTATCTTTCAGAATCTTTTATCTTGATATCAACCACAGGGGTATTTTAAGATTAAGCCAATTTTGTTCATCACTAAATTTCTTATTTTAAACTTTTACTTAATCGAATTATTTTCTGAGGACCTTAGATATTTTATAAACTATACATGATTTCCACATAGTTTTTATGCTTTCGTAAATTTTTATTCTGCCTTTTAGTCCTATTTTATCAAGGTGTTCATCAAGCTATGTTCTTGAAGTCTTAGTTAATTGTTTAAACCCTTAACATTATTTGAATTAATTAACCCTGGTAATATTTAAAAAAAAATTAAAATCACATTTGCCTCTTCAGGGCTACCTTTTATTTTCCAACATTTTATATCCTTCCATTATTTTAGCCGTAATATACTCTTTAATTTTGCCTTTCTTGATTTTTCTTTATGCCTATTTTTCTCTTTATAGACCATGTCTTAACTCCATAATGTCGGCACCTGATAACAAGTTTTCTGCTATATTATCCAGCGTCAGGGAGCCTTTGCATGCGAGCAGTCTTACTGCGAGTAAATCACTTCAATGCCAAAGACAACTGGTCGAGAAACAACAAGAAACTTCAGAGAGCAAGAGTGCTTGTTTGCCCAAGCCATGCTTAGAATCGCAACCAGCTCCTCCGGAAATGAATTCGTCAGCTGTAAAGGTACCAAGCGGACAGATTGCATGGCATGATAGCGATAAAAAGGGTTCCTGCATGAATTCGCTGCCTGATACTTCTAATTCTGAATTCTTCATGCCGTTAGCCGACGATAAAAGGTTTGAGGCCCCCTTATCAACTAATTATAGCGTGATTATCTCCTAGTGCTACAATTTTGTGCTACTTTACTTTTACTTCCTTAGACCAAATTGTGCACTTATATATTTATTATTGTCTACATTTTTGCCAACCAAAGTCAAGTCATTACGTCACTCCTCAATCTAATTTCTTCAACTAAGATCGCCACTGCTTCTATAACCTTTTTATCTTATTATTGGTATTTATTTGAAATTGCACGATCTTGAAGACAATGTCCGAATTCTTAAGGCTGAAATTGTTTTCTAGATATGAAGATCAAGATTGTGTGACCAATTTTTTCATTGATAGAATAAATATAATGAGATGTATTCATACTCATGTATAGAAGGGCTTCTTATATTCTGATCAACAGGCGGGGCTCTTTAAGGGGCTTTCAATGATTATTCTTTTTTTCATTATTTAATTTGGATTTCTTTTTTATGTTCCATCTCGTTTTTGGGTTATCTAAAAATATTG